CGAACACTTCGGTAAGGTATTCAAGTCCATACCGAACGTACCGAACATCTCGGTCCGGTATACCGGAGGTATAATACCGCTGGTACGCCTCGGTATGTACCTTACCAACCACACCCTTGCAATTTTTGTCCGGAAAAATTGCGAAAAAACCCGTTTGGTACGGTACCGGTATTTTCGATAAGGTATTTACATCGTACCCAACTTACCGAACACTTCAGTAAGGTATTGAAGTCCATTCCGAACGTACCGGTATTTTCGGTAAGGTATTGAAATCCGTACCGAACGTACCGAGCATCCCGGTATGGTATGACAGTTAATACAGGTACCGTTCCGAACATCCCGGTATTATTTGTACCGAACTTACCGAAAACTTCGGTAAGGTATTGAAGTCCATACCGAACGTACCGGTATTTTCGGTAAGGTATTGAAATCCGTACCGAACGTACCGAGCATCCCGGTATGGTATGACAGTTAATACAGGTACCGTTCCGAACATCCCGGTATTATTTGTACCGAACTTACCGAAAACTTCGGTAAGGTATTGAAGTCCATACCGAACGTACCGGTATTTTCGGTAAGGTATTGAAGTTCGTACCGAACGTACCGAACACTTCGGTAAGGTATTGAAGTCCATACCGAACGTACCGAACATCCCGGTATGGAATGGCAGTCCATACCGGTACCATACCGGCGATACCGCTATTTGTCCGGTATTTCTCCCGAGCGTCGCCCCTTCTCTCCGATACCCCTGCGGCACCACAAACTCGTCGACAGCTTGCAATGTCTCCGCCGGCACTACGTACTCTGTGTCGTCCGTCGTATTGTAGGCAGGAGCAGGCCGTATCACTGGCACACTGCTGCCTCCTCCACCATCCACAAAACCCTCTGCCTCAGCAGGTGCTGGCGCCGGCGCTGACGATGATGAGCGTTGGTCACCAGCTGCGGGGTCATCGTTGTTGTTGCTGGGGGGGGATGGTGTGTTGCTCATGAGGACGGTTGGTACTGGTGCACACCACCAGCTGTACGCTGTACCGATTGAGAAGGGTACGCCGGTACACTGCTGTGCTGCTCGTCTGCTGGTGCTGTGCGTGTGTATGGCGGTACTGGGTGGATGTCATGCCTATCTTCCCGATTAGCCCGAAACCGGTACGCTCGGTACCGGTATTTTCGTTAAGGTATTTACATCGTACCGAACGTACCGAACACTTCGGTAGGGTATTGAAGTCCGTACCGAACACTTCGGTAGGGTATTGAAGTCCGTACCGAACGTACCGGTAAATTCGGTGAGGTATTCAAGTCCGTACCGAACGTACCGAGCATCCCCGGTATGGTATGGCAGTCCATACCGGTACCGTACCGAACATGTCGGTATTTGTAACGAACGTACCGAAAACTTCGGTAAGGTATTCAAGTCCATACGAAACGTACCGGTATTTTCGGTAAGGTATTGAAGTCCGTACCGAACGTACCGAACACTTCGGTAAGGTATTCAAGTCCATACCGAACGTACCGAACATCTCGGTCCGGTATACCGGAGGTGTAATACCGCTGGTACGCCTCGGTATGTACCTTGCCAAACACACCCTTGCAATTTTTGTCCAAAAAAATTGCGGAAACAAGCAGTACGGAGCCCCCAGCAACACGTGTGCTGTGCTCAGGAAAACAAGTTTCCTTTAAGCGGGGAATTTCCTTAACTCGAGCGTCTTCAAAGCGAGGTCGACTGTATTTTTTTCGTCTTTTAGTGACCCGTAACCCGGGTGTGTCGACAAATGACGTCTTGTGACGTGGTAGCATCCGTAAGTAGGCCTGGTCCTTGATACGTTGCTGAATGGGCAAATCAGGAATTAATTCCGCACAAAAAGCATCTCGGGTGGCATTTTTCAGCGGGTCGCTCGCGACGAAGGTATTCGTCATAGACTATGCGTATGCGTAGGTATTCCTGCCCTGGCCTCCTGCTAGCGACAGCAACCAGCCGCGCTTCCCCGTTGACCTTTTGGTTCGAGAAACAAGAAGTTAATCAAAACCTCTAGACTATGCACGGCGGAGTGGTGAATGGCTTCGAGTTATTCATGAATATGTTTAAGTAGGTTGGACTATGCCGCGCACAGAAAAGTGAAAGAGCTGTTCAATGAACCCAGTTTCGCAGCTCTCGGCGTCGAACTTCACGGTGCTGCTGCAGGATACACATGCGGAGGAGTCGATGAAGTCACTGGAGATATTGCAAGAGTGGAATACGTAGGCATAGGTAGCATCGAGAGTTGGGCCAATTTAGGATCGCCACCACGAGGATCCTTCCAGTGAAGCACTAGTCTATAGCCTACATTGAGAAAAACACGCCCCGCTTGTCTCCAATTTTGATTGCCGTTCTCCGGCAAGATTCGCCCAAATTTTGACCTCGAACGCTCTCTTCCAGTATACGCACTCAACAAACGACGCTGTAGAGACTTGCCCAAGGTTTCTTTTGAGGGTTGGCCACATTTTGGATCGCCACTGTAGACGGAGTTGTTGACAAATAACGGTCTGTCCAATAGGAACGCGACTGCCGTGCGGGGCTCTGCGTCATCGATGCCTTGCCGTATTCCAAAACAGAAAATCGTTGTGTGTGGAGACTTTCAACCCTTCCGCTATATAGTATGTACCGCCATCGCCAGCGTGTTTCTCTTTCGCAACACCTCTATCTAGTACGATGCTACAGATACCAACGTGCGCAGCGAACGAACTCTCATTTTCTCCGACCGCTCTCCCGACATTGTTGTGCGAATGTTCGATATTCAACCAAACGAAGCTTCACGAAAGACAAGCCTACTTCTGGTGGCCTTGATCGTCACCTACACCGCCTACTTGCGTGCCCTCACCCCCCTGCCGTGGTGGACGGAGTAAACCCGACATGTTTACCAGTTCCAACCGGCGCACAGCCTATCTTGGATCGGTTCGATTTGCAAGTAACTACAGTACCAAGTGTACAATTGCTACGGATTACAGTGAAAATCAACACGTGACACCGCGTCGTCAGTGATCTGCGGCTTGGACACGACCAACACCCCACCAACGCTGTTCTTGAAGAACGTGTTTCCCATCTTTTGGGGTCTGCTCTTTTCTGCTTTTCGAATCGTGATGCGGCTCTTGCTTCTTCAGCTTTTCTTGATAACAAAGGAAACATTCGTTCCTTGTTGCTGCCCGAGCATAAAACTTGGATTCCCAGTCAGGTGGTATGCGAAGACCCGTCTACAGTAGTATATCTCAGCACGAACGTCCTATTCATACAGTTATCGCTTGCGATCAAAAATGCTTCAAGAAGTCAAGGCTCATGTCTTCACGAAAACGTTTTTGGTCAAGAGGGTTCAGAAGCATAGCTCATCCGTTCATCCTACCGTATTATCGTACCTTTGTGGAATGATCCATGCTCGACGGTGGTGATGAAATGCAAAAATAAGCCTCGACCCCACAGTGACTTTTCTTCAACGCGCGCGCAAACTGTTTTGTGCTTGGGGCTGGCCCGGGTGGAGGCACCATGACTTCGAATGTCTCTTCATTTTTTTGGGGGGTGCTCTTCTCTCTGACGGGGATTTCCTTTTGGAATGACGCGCATGGCCATTTTATGCATCTGTAGCATTCTCACGCTGTGAATTCAGTTTTTTTGTGGTTGTCATACATATCGCCCCTTTAGTGGACTTACGTGTGTAGTTTGATCTTTCGTTGCAGCTCCATTATTCACCTCATTTTCCACTGGAGCAAGTCTGGTTCCGGTCGGCACGTTCTCGTCAATCTTTGTTCGGCGCTCATTACATTTGAAGATTGGTCATGGCCTTGACTTGCCGCATTTTTTTCTTGACATTTCCTCTTTCTCATTTATACGACCGCGTCGGTCTCGATTCCATCTGCACATTCCATTGCTTAGTCAACCTCAACGAGCGCTCCGCCATCCAACCGCGACGACAGGGTAATAGCGCAAACTGCAAAACGTCCCCCAAGCGATTTAGATAGGGAATAACCTCGTAGCCCTTATGACAGTCACCCTCCGAAACATCGAAAGTACCCAATTGGTGTGTTATCGGTGCAATGTTGAGTGCCACTACTCAGCACGCTACAAAGTGCTGATCAGGAGGTGGTACGCCGTTATTTTTCACACAAGATATGGACAAACAAAAGCAATTAGATACTAGCGTAGAGTGTTGACATTGTGAAATGTATCCTCCCACATTCGTTTGCACTCATATGCATAGGTTCGTTTCATCCTTCCAGATTCAGCGTTCATCTTGGAGTCTTCTCTCGCATGAAATGAATGTGTTGTGAACTTACAAAACAATCGGAAGCGGAAATCATCGGGAACTTTGGAACTGGTCGAGTGTCCACCTGCACCTCATGGGAGCCACCCGTTTATTGGAGTCGTCCACGAGGACGTCCCGAGAAGAATTTACCTCAAACGACAGGTGAGGAAACACCCCTTCTTGGAAGATTCGACTGGGGATCGGTGATACCACATAACGTGACTGGTATTTTGTCGTTGCATGCTTTTTTGGCACCCCCTGTGCAGAAGTGATACCGCAACAGTCGAAGAGATGGCACCGGGTGCGATCGTTGATTTTTTTTTTTTTTTTGCCTTCCGACAATTGCAGATGTACATAAAAAGCCGATCGTAAAGGCCGTCATGTCAAGCCAAATTAACTCGATGCCCAATAACTAGGAATGTTTGCCTCTAAGTCAACAAAACTTTGGTTGAAACACTACAGCTGAACTCTAGGCACGAACCTTAGATGGAGAAAAACGAACAAAACCCCAACCTCATCCACCCGAAATCAAACAAAACTCGGCCCCGTCTTCCTGGTACCCCTGACACCGTATAGAACAGAAATCCGCTTTCCACCGAAGTGGTTAGGTTAAAGCTGTCGCACGCATATTTCGGCGCGCTTTTAATTGTTCATTCCTCGGGGGGGGGTTCGCACCCCGGTGCCATCTCTCCGACAGGTGCCATCACTCTGACCCCGGTGCGAAAATGCAGTACCATTTCGTTTAGTTCTTTCAAAGGCACCTCGGTGCCATCTGGCATCCCGGTAACATCCCCCACGAAATATACATAGGTGTCCTATGCATCGCCCCGTTGCCATTTCCCCGACNGAGAGTTAAAGCGTGTCTTCTCCTCCCAAGTACGGACATACCAACACACTAGTGTTTATTCCCTCGAGGGAGTCCATTAGGGATGGCGGGCCGCAGAACCGGAGGGACCACTCCGGACGGCTCGCAGGCAGGAGACACAAATAGCAGCGAGCAGATCGACAGCATGCTGTCTGAGATCAGCTCGCTGACGCAGCAAATGGGCCAGCTGGTGCAGCTGGTCGGAGGACTTGCTGCAAGTGTAGTCTAGAGGAGAAGTCTGGCGGTGCCACGGAGGGCGCCGCTGAAAGCGGTGGCGCCGTGGAGAGCGTCGCCACAAGCACCGCAGGTCATTTTGGGACCGTGCAGTACGATGGGAGCGCGCACGCAGCGGACCTGCCAAGAGAGTCTGGTCCTTCGGGACGACACAGCGGCGAAGTAGGGGGTTCAGACCCCCAAGAGGTGAGAGTAGCCGCTGCTCACAATCAAGCTTGTTTCAGCAGCGCCATGGGAAGTGGTGCTGCTGTCTTCGGTAGTGCGAGCGTGGGATACCAAAGCGTGAAGTACACAGCGCCCACGTTCAGCGGAGACGCCAAGACCTTTTCTTCGTGGCTAGAGGTTTTCTTTATGGCAGCGAACACAGCAAACCTTCTTGAGCCTTTCGAGGAGGGGGGGGCGGAGATCCCCGTAAACAGTGAGCAGAGCAGAGTCCAACTGTCCAGGTT